CAGGAGCTGCTGCGCCAGACCAAGACGACGCCCCAGCATCATAACTGGAACCAGACGACGCCCCAGCATCGGAACAATAACCTGCTGAACAACCTGATATACTACAAGAACGGCCTGCCGCGCGAGACGATGGTCGTTCATCAGATGCCGGCAGTTCCGGACCCGAAGGACTTCGCAATTTGAGCAGCGTCTTGGAGGAGTAAGTCCGCAAGGAGACCATCGCACGAAGACCGCGAGACACTGACGAACAAGGTTGGAACAACACGCAACGACAAGTTCGCCAAGAAGACGCACCGCGCGCTCTTCAGCGATAACGTTCCGAGGAGATAGACGACCGGATCGAGGTTGCTATGCGCAAGAACTCTTTGGGCGACCTGCCGAAGTACTTCGCGGGGCCCCAGGGCACCGCCAAGACCGACCTCTACATAGACAACAACCTCAGGTGGAACGCCGACGAGCTTCGCTCATCCATCAGGCCCGGGAGTTCATGCTCAACGGGGAGGCCGTAGCCAAGGAGATCAAGTACGACAACCTCTCTCAATCAAGGAGAAAAAGCTCATGGATGAAGCCGCGAAGGTCGAGTGGCCCAAGTGGGCAGGGCTCGGCGACAGCAAGAAGTTGCCGTCCAAGGAGCTAGAGGAAACCTTGAAGCGCCAACCTGGCACGCGACCTGCGGGCGCTCGCTCGGCGTTAACCCGCGAGGCCCTGAACCTCATGGAGGCCCGCTTACTCGTCCAGGGATGCCAAGGGGGCAAGTCCCAGATTCGCACGGACGCGCCCACCATGTCAAGGGCCGCGCTCTATCTCACGCTGGCCGCCGCCGCCCAGTCAGGCTGGGATCTCGCGTCTTACGACGCGATGACGGCCTACCTCTACTCTGGCAACATCGAGAGGCTGCTGCTGCTGCTGCTGCGCATGCCAGCCAAGAACCCACCATCAGTTACTTTTCTCGGCGAAATCGCGATGGCGACCGGCGCCATCCACGGCGCCAGAGAGGCGGGCCGACAGTGGTACCTCTACGTTCATAAGGTGTTCCAGGAGCACGGCCTTGTCGAGAGTAAGCTCGAGAAGGGTCTCTACGACTTCTACGACGACCAGGGCCTCGCTGCCATGATCCGCTCGCACGTGGGCGACTTTCTGATCGCTCTGCACGGCGACTCAGCGCGTGGAAGCGGGTCATAGCCGCATTGGAGAAGAAGTTGCACCTCAAGAAGGTCGAGCGCATCATCGAGTTCTGTGGCCGGACCATCACCAAGTCCGACGAGGAGTACCACGTCACCCATGCGACAGCCGCTGCGCAGGTGCACTTCGCTGAGCTGAAGACCCAACGTGGACGATCACCAGAACTACGGCTTACTACCTCGGACGTCTCAAGCTACCACCACACACTCGGTCCTGCTGTGGCTTGCAGCGCAGGCCCGAGTGGGCGTCGCCTGCCCGGTGAGCACTGCAGTTCGCCGCGCGAACGTCGCAACTGTGGCTGACGCCAAGACGCTGAACAAGACCGTCACCTACGTGCGCGGGTCCGCCGACATCGCCACCGTGATCAAGCGAAATATCGTGGACCTGCACACCTGCGCCGCCTTCGCCGACGTGGACGGGGTCAAGAGCCAGCGGGGAATTGCGATGGTCCTGACCCACAGGCCGCGCGACGTCGTGGCCGGGCGATATGACCCATGTCTGCCCGTAGCCTGGCACTCGGGCACGGTCAAGCGCTCCGTGGACTCGACGCTAGCTGCCGGGGGCTATGCGACTCTCGAAAGAGCCGAGACGAACGCCAGCTGATCACGGAGACCTACAACCTGAAGAAACCGCTCCAGAAGATTTGACGACCTTTGCCAGGCACGCCCTGGAGAGATCTACATAGACAGCAATAGACAGCAACGGCCTGGCAGTCCACCGACAAGCGGTTCCGGATCGTCGCAGCGATGTTCAGGAAGTCCGTACACCCTGACAGCCATGATCGCCGATGCGCTCACCAAGATCATGGAGACGGGACGGGAGTGCTACTCGCTTTCTTCGGTGCCAAGAAGCACAGCTTCGGAACGCGGCAGCCACGCGCCGCCATGCTCGCATCGGTGCTCGCGACCTGCCTTGGCCACGCCGAGGGGCAGCCCACGCCTGCGCCTACGACGCCTGGCGCCAGCCATTATTGATGCACGTGGCATTTCATGACGATTGCTTTGGTTGTTGGTATCATTACTGGATTCACTATTTGTTCTGCGATGTGGTTTGTGATGCGCCAGAATACCTCGCTACACGATGACACGAGGTGCAAAGCGAAGGCATCAGACACCGCAATTGGACACCATCCAGGATGGGATGGACGTCGCATTGGCCGGCGTCATCACGAGAGGCTAGCCACGATCCCCGAGGACGTTGAGGGAGATGTGCCGATGGCATTGCCACCAGCGTTCGTCGCCGCGCAGAGCCAGTCATCACCCTCAGCCAGCGGCTCAGCAGCACCGGCACCAGGTGCGCCCGCACCGCCGAAGGGACCGAGTGCACCATCAACGCCCATGTTAACGTGAAGCATGCCGCCGCTATGCGCCGCCGCTCTGCTCCGTTGCCCCGTTTTCTTAAACGCCGGGACTGCCGAGCCTCGTGGCCGACTACGCAAGTTCGCACTGCAAGAGTGGAGTTGCCGCGCCCAGCACCCACCAGCCAAGAAGCTTCGTTCAGCGCGCGGATTCTCTGTTGCTTCAGGTAGTGGCGACCACCCTTATATTTGTTTCTTACAACGTAAGAATGATACTCGCCGCGAGCCAGCGCCGAGAGTCTGGTAGAATGGGTGGAGCTAGCTCTTGAATGATCAGTGGCACGGAGATGCCGATTCTTTCCGTTGCATAGATTGCTCAATTTTTTAGCGGCAAACACTTATCGCCGTGCATTCTTCCCGGCACCGCGGATCCTGGGCAGATCTTTCCCGTGCGTGATATCCAGGCTGGATTGTGGAGGGGCGCCGAGCTGTTCGCCCAGTACCTGGCCTTCTCACAGGCCGCGCCGACGTGCCCCGACTGCAGGCGGGTCTGCCCTGCGCTGTCGTGCCCAGCCCCGAACCTCTCGTGCCCAAGACTCGTGGCGCCCAACCTGACTTGCCAGGCTCCGCAGGTGCAGTTGGCGTGCCCCGACTTAGGCGCCGGCGTTCAACCTGTCCTGCCCTGTCGCCCACCCTTTGCCTGCCGAGGAAGACTTCTTCAGCTGCGACTTGCCCTCTCGGACTGACGGCGTTCTCGTCGGCAGCGTGGGCAGTGCGGGTGTGACCTCGCGGGGAAGGCGCAGCGTCCGCAGGGGCCACAGCGAGAACGAGGGGGTGGAGGCGGCGGCTAGGGCGCAGGTCGCTCAGCTGCGGCGGCGTCAACCTCTCCAGCGAGCCTGATGGCGTCACCAGGCGACTGGGCCCTCACGCGGCATGATCTACCAGGGCCCGAGGTCTGGCATGAGCGCCCCATCACGGGGGCATCGGTGGCGCAGCCGTCCCTCGTCTCGACGTTCACGAACGACGATCAACCAGCCTGGAGACACTCCTGTCGGTGTCGACGGGCGTCGGATCTAAAGGTTCCTGAACCCTCCTGATGCGGCCACCTTCGAGCAGCTGAATTGCGACAGAGCCCTCATGGTGGGGGGCCGGGCCCCGGCCCCCGCTGCTGCTGGAGCTGCCGCCGTCGCGCCAGGAGGCGCAGGAGCCGCGGGAGCCACAGTCCCCCACCGGGGAGCTGGAGTGGCAGGTGTCGCGGGACGTGCAGGCGCAGCGGTGCCCGCGGCCCCGCCTGGCTCAGTGTGGGTTGCGACGGAGGACTGCCATGGGCTCTCTCGAGGTCAGGTTCTCCCTGACCCGCTCCCCGACGGCGCGCAGGTGCTCGGGGATTTCGCCGCGGTCCCTCTCCCCGCGGGCAACGTGACGGCCCGCCTGCTGGCGCGCCGAGACCTCGAGAGCTACGTGGTTGATGTCCTCAGGGTTATGCACGCGAAGTTCAATCAAGAGGGAGTCCGACGACGACCTTTCGCCGACGCCGTAGACCAGCTGGCGGACGAGCCAGAGGGTGGGGTCATGGTCGACGGCCCTCGCACCTGCCTGTCCCTCGTGCGCCCCTGGCGCGACGCTGGTCTCTCGGCGGTGACTCACCACGAGAGCTGGGTGCGAGGCGGCAGGATCCCCGAGGGCGACCGCTCGGTCTACGAGCACGAGGTTATCTGCAGGGTGCTCGAGTCTATGCTGACAGTGGACCAGCTCAACATCGGGGCGCTGCAGTCGGCTGAGCTCCTCGCGAGGCGCCTCCAGCTCACTGAGGATGCGCACCGTGGCTCACCATCCAACCCGACTGCTCTGCCAGTGACGTCTACATGGGCCTCGCCACAAGGAAGGGCGGTGCCTCCAAGGTGCCGGCGCTCCAGAAGTACATAGCCGAGAGCCTGAGGGGCCGTTCGGCCATCCTGAAGGAAACGCGCAAGGCGAAGGAGGAGGCCAAGTTGAGGAGGAACAACCCCAAGCGCGCCCCAGGCGGAGCTGGGGCAGATGGCGGATGACTTCCCCAGGCTGGAGGCTAGGGCCGACCTCCAGTTGACATCGGGCCCCTCCGCGGGCACGGCCCGCCGCAGCTTCGTGTTCTCAGCCTGACCGCCAGCGTGATCTCTTCCCGCTGCCGCCGGTGGGGCCGACACCGCCCACGAGGCCAGGGGCCTCGGTGTGTGTGTGTCCGCCGCAGGCTGGCACGCCGCCGCACCCTCGAGGCGAAGTGCAATGAGGTCATCGACGGCCTCAACATGCTTCACCCTCCTGCACAGCAACGTTGCGCTCCCAATGCTGCTCAAAGGCATTCTCTCCCAGGTGAAGGCTGCCCCAAGAGCCAACACCGCGTGCGCCCGCCGTGAGGCCGCTCGTGAGCTTCTGGCTAGCAGCCTCGCGTACACCGGCGACGAGGCCAAGAGTCCAGTAGTGCAGTAGGACAGATCTCGCGTTGACATCCCCAGAGTGGGATCGGCCGCGACCCGGTCGGGAGGGAATATCTGTTGCAGTTCGAGACGCGAATGCTTCGCTCTGCTGATGAATGGGGCCAGATCGTAGAGACCGAGCCCCCCATCACCCCGTGCATGGACGACAACCTGCGTAGGCATCAGGACTCTTACGTCACTTTCGTGGGCGACCTCGTGTCCGCAGGCATGGTGTCGTTCTCTTTCAATCCGAAGGACATTGTGACACCTTTATTCGTTGCCAAGGAGAACGGTCAGCAGCGCCTCGTCTGGGATGCCCGTGTTCCGAACAGGCGTTTCCGCCAGGCGCCCTCTCAGAGCATGGGGGCGTCGGCGGCCTACGGGGGGATCGAGCTCGGGTGCGCTGCCGACGACAGCGGCAAGTTCAGGGATACCCTGTACTGCGCCCAGGCCGACATACGCAACTACTTCTACTTGCTGGGTCTCAGTGAGCAGCTCGGCCCGTTCTTCTCTTTGCCACCTGTGCCCGAGGCCATGCTGTCGCAGTGGGGTCGCAGCGCAGTGGATGCCCCTCGGGTGGGCCGCGGGGCTTGGGTGTGGCCCTTCTTCTCGGTGGTCCCGATGGGGTGGAACTGGGCTTTCTGGCTTGGGCAGCGCTGCGACGTCTTTCGCTGCTTGCAGGCGTCCTCGCTGGGTCCTGAGCGTTTGCTCGCGGATCACGCCCCAGTTCCATCGATCGCTTGAGGGGGGTCTGCCGTGTCTGTTGCCCTATTGTGATAATTTCAACGTGGTGGGCACTGATCCAGCACGGTGTGACAGCATGCTCGATGGCATCATTGCCGACTGGGTATCCTTCGGTGTCGAAGTCCACGAGGTGGTCAGGGCCTCACCGGCTTGCACTAGCCTGGGCCGCCTCACCGACGGGGTGCAGGGCATGGTCTTTTCGAAGCCCGAGCGCTCCGAGAGGCTCAGGCGAACCTGCCTCTGGCTTGAGAGTAGGCCGAGGGTCGCAGGACAAGAGATTGAACTGTTTGTCGGTAGCGTCATTGATCGCGTCATGCTTCGCCGTGAGTTGCTTTGTATCCTCAGGAACCTCTACGATTTCATCAGATGCCATTACACTGACAGAGTACGCCTGTGGCCCTCGGCGGCGCTCGAAGCTTTCCAGTGCCATTCCCTGCTGCGCGCGATGTTCAGCAATTTGAGAATGCCGTGGAGCTCCACATTCGTCGCTACTGACGCCTGCCTCTCGGGGATGGCCGCGGCTACAGCCTCCTTCCCCTCCTCCACCGTTGCGTCTATCCGAAGAACCAGCGAGAGGTGGAGGTACAGGCTCCCGTCAGCCATATGTGCACGTACGTCTGCGCTGGGCCCCACAATGGACTCCTACGGGGACGCGATGTAGATCAACAAGAGGCTCCATCTTGGGGGGCAGGGGACGCCAACACCGTCTTAGGCTTCAAGGGCCCCCGCAACGAGGACCCCTGGGAGCTCAACCCCGACTTTCACGCGGCCCCCCTCGAGTTCCTCAAAGAAGAGCTCTGGAGTTCGCAGCCCCCTCCCACGTCTCGGAGGCCATCGCTGTCTTGGAGGCGCGGGCCAGCAACGCGGGGTCCAGGCACATACTTCGGTCCGTCAGGGCCGTCAACAAGCGGCACCTGGAACTAGGCGACAACCTGGGAACCATCCTGGCCCTCTCCAGAGGCAGATGCTCTTCTTTCGGGCTTCTCCTGTGCTGCCGCCGAGAGGCCGCCTATTCCATCGCTGCCAATGTTCGGTTCGAGCACCGCTGGATTCCATCCGAGTACAACCGGTCCGACCAAGGCTCGCGCAGCTGGGAGACCCAGGATGGAGACGTCGCGGCCCCCAAGGGCGCCCGCCCGCCGCGCTGCCCAGGGAGCCCGCCCGCTCGACAAGGCCAGCCTGCGAGGGCGGGCGTTCGAGGGCAGCTCGCGCGAGGAGCGGGCAGCCAGGAGGATGACAGCCTCAGGCGCTTGCCACCGCACCACGGAGGGCAAGCAGTCCTTCCTGGAGGTGAACGCGGTGGCTCCAGCCCCCTGGACGTCTACACGGACTGCATGCTGGAGCTCAAGCGCTTCGTCGTGGCCCACGGCTTCTCGCTGGGTACCCCAGCCGAGGCCGACCTGGCGCTGACGAACTTCGCCAACTACGCCTGGACAGAGGGCCTGGACAGGGGGGTCGTGCACCGGACTTACGCAGCCTTCCTCTCAGAGCACCCCGACTTTTCCCGACGGGGCGCGCTGCGCCTCCCGAGGTTGTCGCGAGCGATGCAAGGCTGGGAGAGGCTCGACCCAGGACTCACGAGGCCGCTGATCCCGTGGATCCTGACCTGCCTAATCGCCCAAATCATGATCGTCGACCTCATGGCGCCCGTGGCAGCGCTGATGGTTCTGACGATGTTCCTGGCCTACCTCCGCCCGTCCGAGGCGGAGAACCTGCTGGGGGAGGATCTGGTGCCCCCGTCGGCGTCGTCCAGTTTCTTCGTGCTGAACCTCCACCCCAGCGACCGCGGCGAGGTGAGCAAGGTCAGGCTCTCCGACGAGTCGATCATGCTCGACTCCGTCGAGGCGGAGTGGCTCGGGGATCTGCTGCGCGCGATCAAGAGCGGCCTGCCTCGACGCCCGCTGTTCAGGCTCACCGTGCTTCAGCTGCGCGATTTCTGGATCAAGGCGCTCAAAATCTTCGGCGTCCCCAACAAGTACGTGCTGTACCAGCTGCGCCACGGCGGCCCCTCCCACGACCGTCTCCAATGTCAGCGGTCTCTACCAGAGATCAAGGAGCGCGGGAGGTGGGCTTCCGACAAGAGCGCCAGGCGCAACGAGGCGCACGCGCTCATCCAGCAGCAGGAGGCCACCCTGCCAGCGGCCATCGTCAAGAGAGCCAGGGGCGCCCCAGGCCAGCTCGAGCGGCTCCTGCGCGAGAGCATGGGCTGCCAGCGCAAGCGCGGAGCCAGCGGCCAGGGCCTGCACAGGCCCAAGGCCCGCCGCGGCGCTTCGGGCCGCCACCCGGGGTCGGCGGCGCCGCCCCGCCTTTCGTCGAGCCCATGTGCGGGCCCGCCAACCCTGCCAGTGTTGTGGGCAAGCGCGGGCTGGCAGCCGAAGGCTGGGACTACGTCGACGGGGCTCAAGCCGACCTCGCAGACCCACAAGTGATCGCCTGCTTTCGCCAGCGCATTGCGACTAGACAGCTCTGTGGTTTGCATTTTGGCCTCGACTGTAAGACCTGGTCTAGAAGCGGGAAAAACGACGGGCTTGGACCGCCCCCGCTTCGCAGCGACGATTGTCTTTTTGGTCTCCCATCCCTCTCAATTGCGGACCTGTCGAAAGTAAGTGAGGTCAACCTGATTCTGTCGCACGTCCTGAGTCTGGTCGAGGCCACTGCCTCCGCGGGCCTTTTCGTTATGATCGAGAACCCAGCCCCATCCAGACTCTGGCTCGCGCCGCAACATCTTGAGCTTGTAACGCGTCTCAATGCAAAGCCTCAGCGAGTAGACTACTGCCAGTTTCACGTGCTTCGGCGGAAGGCCACAATCTTTCTGTTTGTCAACCTTCCTGAGCTAGATAATGTCCCGCATGTCTGCGAGGGTAGCCAGGCGCGACGCAGCGCCACTGGCAAAGCTCACATCACCTTGCGAGGGAAAGGCTCGCAAGGTTTGTTCTGGACGTCTCGTGCCTGTCCCTATCTTCCTGCCCTATAGGTAGCGAGCTGCCAACTCTCGAGCCGCTCACCTCATGGGCGACGCGATTCGATACTGCAGACATGGCCATAATCTTTTGGCCCCGGCAAAAAAGAACTTGGGCATTGTCAAGTCTTGGCATGGCGTTGAGCGTTGATCATTTATTTTCTGAGAGCGCATGTATCATCACCTGTTGAATGTCCCGGGGCAGCCGGATTGCAAGACGGCAAGGTCGTCTGCCCGACCTAAAGTGGAGGCGCCGCGCTCGGCGCCCGCTTGCCCGCCAGCGGCGAGCGGAGATGCCGCGCCCAGCACCCGCTAGCCGAGAGATGGAGATGCCGCGCCTGGCGCCCATCAGCCGGGTGAAGCGTTCGCTCTCTCAGCGATCGCTAGCCCTTTAACGCAGCCGTGAGTGATCACCGCTCTGGGCGCTATAGATGGCGACCAGCAGTCAGGAGGAGTGCGACTCAAGCTCGCCCCCGGGTGTGCGCATAAGGGGCCGATGGGGGCCCTGCGAGACGGATAGGCAGAGGCCGAGATCCCCGCTCTTTCACTGCCCTTGCCCCTTGTGCTTTCACCTTTCCCCCCGCTGCTTCTTCGGTTCAAATGTTATTAAGCAGGGCCCTTGGCCTGAGAGCTACGCCTCGCCTCACCGCGTGAGAGAGTAAGAAATAGATTGGCGCCGTGCGCCCATCCATATCACAGCGTCGCCGCGCGCCCCGCCCAAGCCGCTGGGCTAGCCCCGACTTGTAAGAGAACGGAAGTAAAACCACGAACAAAAACAAAAAGTCGCAGCACGACCGCAATGGCAACGAAGGAAATCCGAACCCCCCCGTGCTCCCCTTGGCAGAGTGTGCCCCATTTGCGTGGTGTGTATCGTGCGCTCCTGCGGCGGTAGCCCCTAGTCCTGGCCGCAACAAGCGGAACTTCACGCATGTTGTCTTCGTTTTGAAACCTTTTTCGTGTGCAAGTTTGTACTGTGAGTTAGTTGTCTGTCTACTTCCCAACCATCCTATGGTGTTGGGTCTTCGCTTTGAAGAGACAGCGCCCCGCGTCACCTCGCTCCTCCTCCTCGCGTTGCCTCCTCCTCTTTTGATTACCAGAGTCATCATAGTCGTCGTCGCCACCATCACCATCATCAGCATCATCATCATCTTCATCTTCATCATCATCATCCACATCATTGCCGCCACCATCACCGTCTAAGACCCTAGTGGCACAGTTCGCATGGCGGCGCCGCCGGATTCCGACACACCCTTCACACGGTTTGTGGCCCCAGAGGGAGCTCCACCTACAGCCCCAGTGGCGACGTCCCCATGCGTCCGCGTCACCCACTTGGCATACCCCTCACACGGTTCGTGGCCCAATTGGGAGCTCCACTTGAGACCCCAGCGGCGACGTTCCCATGCGTCCGCGCCACCCATTTCGGCACATCCCTCACACGGTTCGTGGCCAAATACGGAATTCCACCGAAGGCCCCAGCGGCGACGTTCCCATGCTCCGGCGCCATTCATTTGCGGCACACCCCTTAGACGGTCCGTGGCCCTGCACACAGGGGCTCCACCTGAGGCCCCAGCAGCGACGTTCCCATGCGTCCGCGCCACCCATGTCGGCGCACCCCTCAAGCGGTTCGTGGCCCTTGCAGGGAACTCAACCTAAGGCCTAAGGCCCCAGTGGGCGCGGCCATATGCGTCTGCCATACACACTTCGGCGCACCCCCCACACGTTTCGCGGCTCTGTAGGAAACCCCACCTAAGGCTCTTATGTCGGCGTTCGCACGCGTTTGGCCGACCCATGTCGGCACACCCCTCACACGCACCGTATCCCCGTATGGAATTCGACCGAGTGTTGCAGCGACGACGTTCGCACGCGCCCCCCTCCCCCGCCCATCTCGTTCGGCACACCCCTCTCACGGTTCGCGGCCCACGGGGAGCTCCACCGAAATTCGCGCGCGTCCCACCCATTCGTCCCCACTGCCTGCACTGCCCCGCGCCTCGTTCTTCTTTGCGGCGCGCTGCCTATGAGAGCAGAGGGTGAACCGCGTGCGCTTTTCGGGGTTTGCGTGCCCGCATCCTTCGTATCATCTCCCTCGTGGTTCTCGCAGCTGCATATGGTTGGGTCCTTCGCCAGGCGAATTCCCCACCGAATGTCGGACAAATGTTGTGCCCGATCGCGTCCCATCGGGTTGTCGTGCGCTATTTCGGCTGCTCTGCCTCTGGCTGTCTCATCCAATCGCGTAGCGCTGATATGCCGCATCCCGTTGCGTCGCATACCGCGCAGCATTCCTCATACAGTCACAATGTGGTGTGTCTTCTGGCATCGACGCCAATGGTTGATTTCACCGCCCCACACGGCATCAATTACTTCGCATTGCGTCGCCTGCGGTCCCCGCACCATCCGTGCATATTACATATTCTCGCCAATACGATGTTTGTTTCCCGCATGTTTCTTGAGGGGGGTTCTTCCCACCCGCGTCGCACCCGCGTCTTCTCACCTACGTCACTTTCCGTTTGTCCGATCGTCGTCATACAGATGCACACGTCATAACCATAACAATGTCATACATATACACACGTACAGCCGCACACCACGTGACGCACACACGCGCACACATACACGCACACACACACACACACAAACACACGCACGCACGCGCACACACGCACACACGCACACACATTCGCACACGTATACGCACACGCACACGCACACACACAGATTCACACACATACATGCACACAGACACACACACACACACACACACACACACTGCACGCAGGTAAGACAGGGATGACACCTGGCGCGTTCTACACATCATACATGCACGCATCTCTAGCCGCGCACACACACACACACTTTTCACACACACACACGCACACCATACGACGCTTTCGCGACACTGTAGGAAAAGGCGAAGGAAAATGCGCCCCCCCGCGAGCATCCTGAGGGCTTTCGCACCGGCCCGCACCGGCAGTGCGTGGAGGCCCCCCCGGGGACTTCCGTGCATCCTGAGGGCTTTCGTACAGGCCGCACTGGCGGTGCGTCCAGCACGAAAGCCCCAGGACGGGAGATCCCGGGGGGTGATTTTCGTTCCGCACCGGGCACCGGCCACATATTTATAGATGTATATATACACATCATATCAGTCGACAGGAGTAAGATACGCGCGTCACCTACCCGAAGTCATGGCTAGTGGGATAAGACCATACAGTACATCATGTGAGTATACATCTATTTATACAGCAAAGCCACATAGTAGGCTAAAGCTGTCACTTGGTGTTGGACCATGAGACGCACAGGCCAACACAGAGGGCTTTAGCAAGCTTGCTTCCCCTACAGCGACGCAGAATCTCTAAGACGGGGTGCGTTCGACGTGCGCCCCGTTCCGAAACATGAAGATCTTAGTTTCTACCGACAAAATGGTTTTGTTGTAGGTCCCTGTAGGTGATATATACATGTACATATATATATATATATATATATATATAGATGAAAATAGAGTACATACATAATGCATACATACATACATACATCCACCCATACATACATAAATACATACATACATAAATACATACATACATACATACATACATAAACATACAACACTAGACACGATGGATCGCACCCCCCCGACCCGTCGAGATTCCGGCTTCTACGACAACAACGCGGTTAGACTTTCGACAACCTAATTCGGCGAAAGTCCGGCGCGCGCGTTGCCGTAGGGTTTGTCTCCAGGCCCCGACGGCGCCGCGGGGATCGGCGCACCAGGTGTCCCAGATGGCTCCTAGAGTCCCTCCTGGGCCTTCCACCCCACGAGGGCCCCAAGAGGGCGCCAATGTCCTTCCAGCTAGCACCCACAGGACCCCACTATCTCCCGCAAATAAACAAAATTAGCTTGGCGAAGGACCCGACCATATGCAGTTGTGACTACAGCAATTGTGAATACCATCTTCGCCCGTGCTCCCTATGTGGCCCCGGCTTCCCGCCGGAGCCCGACATGCTCAGGAACGCGTTCGTGGCCGTCTGCCGGCGCCGACGACGACAAGGACGGCGCCCCTCTGACCGAGGAGCATAAGCAGGAGAGGGCTTTGAGAGCCATGAGGGAGGAGTTGGCGTTGTACGTCGACACGGCGGAGTACGACGCCCAGGCGCGGTTGTAGAAGAAGCACAACTATGGGGCCACGATCCTCGTGAGGGGTGTGTCGCAATGGCCCGAGGCCGCCATGCGAACCCTGCCACTGGCGCCTTCGGTGGAGCTCCTGTAGGGCCACTATCCTCGTGAGGGGTGTGCCAGAATGGCCCGAGGCCGCCATGCGAACCCTCCCGCTGGCGCCTTCGGTGGAGCTCCCTATGGGGCCACGATCCTCGTGAGGGGTGTGCCGAAATGGCCCGAGGCCGCCATGCGAACCCTGCCACTGGCGTCTTCGGTGGAGCTCCCTATGGGGCCACGATCCTCGCGAAGGGTGTGCCGAAATGGCCCGAGGCCGCCATGCGAACCCTGCCGCTGGAGCCTTCGGTGGAGCTCCCTATGGGGCCACGATCCTCGTGAGGAGTGCCGAAATGGCCCGAGGCCGCCATGCGAACCCTGCCACTGGCGCCTTCGGTGAAGCGCCCTATGGGGCCTCGATCCTCGTGAGGGGTGTGCCGAAATGGCCCGAGGCGAACCCTGCCACTGGCGCCTTCGGTGGAGCTCCCTATGGGGCCACGATCCTCTTGAGGGGTGTGCCGAAATGGCCCGAGGCCGCCATGCGAACCCTGCAACTGGCGCCTTCGGTGGAGCTCCCTATGGGGCCACGATCCTCGTGAGGGGTGTGCCGAAATGGCCCGAGGCCGCTATGCGAACCCTGCCGGTGGCGCCTTCGGTGGAGCTCCCTATGGGGCCACGGGGCCACGATCCTAGTGAGGGGTGTGCCGAAATGGCCCGAGGCCGCTATGCGAACCCTGCCGCTGGCGCCTTCGGTGGAGCTCCCTACATGCGAACCCTGCCACTGGAGCCTTCGGTGGAGCTCCCTATGGGGCCACGGGGCCACGATCCTAGTGAGGGGTGTGCCGAAATGGCCCGAGGCCGCTATGCGAACCCTGCCGCTGGCGCCTTCGGTGGAGCTCCCTATGGGGCCACGATCCTCGTGAGGGGTGTGCCGAAATGGCCCGAGGCCGCCATGCGAACCCTGCCACTGGAGCCTTCGGTGGAGCGCCCTATGGGGCCTCGATCCTCGTGAGGGGTGTGCCGGAATGGCCCGAGGCCGCCATGCGAACCCTGCCACTGGCGCCTTCGATGGAGCTCCCTAGGGGGCCATGAAACGCTGCACTGGGTGGGTGAAGCGCAAGGAAGAGGGGGAGGAGAGAGGAGGGGGAGGCGGAGAGGAGGAGAGGAGACGCGGGCCACCGTCTCTTCAAAACGAGGACCCAACACCACAGGATGGTTGGGAAAAACCGCAATATTTGTTCGCGGCCGCCGCACACTCGCGACGTGATTGTCCAGTTGGATAACGCATTGCGCATTGCGTGGTTCAGGAAATTCCAGCATGGGCCAGCGAAGCAAGTTCGAGGCTATTTTCCCGACCAGCCCCACCTGGCACATAACCCCACCTTTCTGGACCCCCGACATAGGGGTTGCGCAGGGCGGTCGTATCCGAGAGCGGCCGCTATCAGGGCCCGTCGCCCAGGCATGGCAGCGTGACATTTTGTCGACACCACAGGGGTTGCGCAGGGGGTGGTCCTTGAGCGCGGCCACTATCCGTGCCGGTCGTCCAGGCACAGCAGGCGGGGCATTTTCTCGACCCGCAGTGGGTGCGTAGGTGATGGCCCATGGGCGCGGCCGCTATCCGCGCCGGTCCTCCAGGAATAGCAGGCGTGGCAGTTTCTCGACACCATCGGGGGTGCCCAGGGGATGGTCCCTGAGCGCGGCTGCGATCCCTTTCGAAGCGGATCGGAAAACGATCGAATGGTACTGGGAATTGTCAGCCAAGCGATATGCGGATCCAGAGCCCCGACCTTCGAGAAGGGGCGACGACGCAGACTTGTGGAGAGCGCTCAACAAGTACTCAACCAATGATGTATACGACAGAACGGATGTGCTGTACCTCACTTTCGTGCGTCTGCACTGTAGCCCGACATGCTCGGCGGAGCTAGCGCTAAGTTCTACGGGGAGGTCAGCGACGTCGTTTGTCATCTGACTCAGCAGGGACGTTGGCAACATGCATCATATAAGAATGGAATCTGTGAGGTTCCTCGGTCGCAGAATTGTAGGCACCAGCCCTCGAACTCTCGACATCCCTTCCCCAGGACCGGCTCGTCCCATCCCGAAACCTTGTCTCACGGCCCGCAGTGCCCAGTCCAGGCGCCCAGACGCCAGCACAAGATCGGCATGAAACCTCCTGCACGATTTTGTCTGGAGTCGCCAGCCCTGGGTCCTGGGTATCGAAGATCCCCTCCTTGGCCCCGTCCTGTGTAACGTTCTGGCCAGATTGTCGAGGCGGCCCCAATCGTGGCCACGAGGGCGCTCAAGGGGACGCCTCAAGAAGACCCCAAAACGCCCGAGCATTCAGATCCCTAGACTTCCGACGCCGCGATTTTTTTCACAACGGGGCTCCCTGGAGGTCTAAACGTTTTCCCTTGGGACAGGTCTTTAAAGTGCTTTTAATCCTGAGTCGCTTTGGGATGGTCCGTTGGCCCGGCGAGGGCCCCCGGAGGCCGAACTTGGCACCGAACTTGCCCTCGTCATTTGTTGACGACTCGAGGGTGCCTGGATTTTGTTTTTAATACGGGCCTTCTGCAGGCCCCTTCTTCTCTCGGTCGTTTCCCTCTCGCCCAGAAGCGCGCGCCCCTCGTCTATATATACAGAAACTCCCGATCAACCGCAGAGCGGCGGATGTTACGGGCCTTCTGCAGGCACGATATGTGGTCCTTGGACATGGAGCCGGTGGAGCACCCGCCCAGCAGCGCAGACGCGCTCGGATCGCCGGGGCAGCAGTTCAGCGCCCCGGGGAGCCCGCAGCCCCGGGCTCAGCGTTCCGACGAGCGCCGCCGTTGGCCGCCCGACGAGATCCGCTGTCGTCACCGTCGTCACCAAGGGCTCCCACGAGGGCGCGAAGTTATTCGCGGTTCGCGCTTCGCGGTCCTCGTTCCTTCTCCCCCTCCTCCTCGTCCTCCTTTTCTCCCTTTGGGGGGGCGGCGCGAGAGCGCGAAGTTATTCGCGCTTCGCGCAGCGCGAAGCGCGAAGTTGGGAGCCCTTGCGTCACTGGCCCCAGCGCCGCCGCCCTCGCTGTCGCGGCCGACGCCATAGCCGCTGTCGCCATCGGCAGCGCGGTCATCGTCTTCGTCGCCGCCGTCGATGCGGCCACGCGCAGAGGGGGGGAAATGGAGGGGGGAAGAAGACTTCTTCGAAGCACCCGTGCTTCTAGGAAGCATTCCCCCCTCCCCGTGCGCGCCGCCAATCGTCACCCGCCTCTTTGTCGCCATCGCCGTCACCATCGCCGCCGCGGCCGTCGTCGAGCGGTCGCCGCCGTCCCGGTCGTCGTCGTCGCATGGGACCGCCCGGGCGTTGCAGACCCGCTGGCCCCGGCCGCGGGGGGCGCCCCGAGGGGCCACCAGCGGATGCTACAGGCGCGAGCACGTGCGTCGAGCGGACCTTTACGGCCGGCGCAGACGGCGCTCGCAGCAGCAGCAGCAGCAGCAGCAACAGCAGCCGCAAGTGGTGTCAGTGGCACTGGTACTGGGGGGGGTCAAGTTTCGGGTTCGACGGTTGAGGTGTTCAAATGTTTTCGTCAAGTCTCGGCGGCCTTCTAGTCTCGGGGTACCTTCCAGCGGCTGTGCCTTGCCGAGAGCGCTCTTGGGATGCCGGGGTGCCGAGGTATCACCCGAAAGCCAGCCAGCGGGCACGAGGGGGGGCGGCTTAGGGGGGGGGGGGGCGCATCGACCCCTAATCGCCCATTGGTGGCCGATAGGGGCCCGGTAGCCCAAACCCGCCCAGGAGCATGCGATTTCGCCATCGGGGACCTTTTCAATATCAGTCTATCGGCGTTGTATCGCCGATGCCAGTTCGACGTTTCCCCCCTGAGCCGGTCCCCCATCACGCTGCCCCTCAGGAGGTGAGTGGCCAGGGGGGCAGAGGAGCCGCTGGGGGTGAAGAGGTGTGGCGAGGAGGAGTAGGACGGGGGAAGGCAGAGCACGAGAGAGAAACATATTGCTTGGGGTGGAGGGAGAAGAAGAGGATGTCGAGGAAGAGGGGGGGGAGCAGGAGCAGGAGGGGGAAAACACGCCTGAGCGCCTGAGGCGAGGAAGTTGGATGGTGAGGAGGGTCGCTGAAGGCAAGTAACGAGAGGGGAGGAGGAGGAGGAGGAGGAGGAACAGGAGGAGGACTGGAGGAGGTCGGAGGAGATGGGGGTAAGGGGGAGCAGAAGGATGATTAATGGGTAGGAGAAGGAGCTGCGGCGGAGGAGAAGGGGGAGGAGTATTTGAGGAGGAGGGAAGGCGTGCGAACGACGGAAAAAAACGGGGTGGTCCGCACCGACATCGGCGCGGAAGCTGCCCACTCAAGGGTGCGCGTAAGCGTCCTCGTGTCCACTGTGGCTTGCCGCCGCGCTGTTGGCCCGCGTAAGTCACCGCGTAAGGTCGCTGTGCCATTTCGCGCCGCACGCTTTCCTATTCGTCGATCGGGAGGAGGGAGGAGGCGGGGCAGGTCGCGGCGGAGACGGATAAGGATGGGAGAGAAGGTGGGGCTGGAAGAGGCGGAAGGACGATGAGGCCACCGCGATGGCTCAAGCCGGGGCCGCGTGAAGCCTGTGGGCTCGCGGCTTGCTTGCGAACATCGTGGGCAGCATGCGATTTGTCTTTGCACCCGCGTTCCTCCTCATCCTGCTCCTCCCTCCCTTTTTTGGACCTCCAGCGCCGTGAACACATCAACGGCGAGCGTCATCGTAAAACGTTGGTTTGGGAGGCTCATAGTGGGCCCTCGGGGGGTGCAAAGCACGCACGCGCAAACACACTTTTTGGCGTCGTGGCCTTGCGTGCAGCGACAGGGCGAAGAAGGTCTACAAGCAGGAAGCGCGCGCGGACGCGCAAACAAACGTTTTTGGGCGTCGCGGCTCCGCGCGCGACAGGGCGTCCAATCGCACAGTGATACACAAACAAACAGAAGCACAGACACACACACACACACACACACTTTGGCGGTAGCGGCCTCGCGCGCAAAGGAACAGGCGGCAAGACCAGGCCTGGGAGCCCGAACGCGTGAGGAGGCTGCCGCCGGCGGCAGCCCCGCAAGCGCCGGGGGAGGGGGCGGGGGAGGGGTGGCCCGCCTGTGGGGAGGATCCCTCAGGCGGGGCGGCGGGGCCAGCGGCCCAGCGCCAGCACTGCAGCTGCCGGCGGGTGGCCGTGGCTGCCGCTGTGGAGGCCAAGCGCTGTCGGGGTGGGCAGCGCTGGGCCGGTCTAGGGGCACCCAATCGGTGCAGCTACCTGTGTCAAAATTGTGGCCGAAGGCTGACGAGTGCCACGCGCTGTCGGGGTGGACAGTGCATGGCCAGTTTTAAGGGCAACGTGATGGTACTGTCTCCTGAGATTGCGAAGACAGGGGTGACGTGGCATGGCGGAGGACGAGGAGGAGGAGGAGGAGGAACGTGGCGTCGTGCCGGCTGGGATCGCGGGTGCCGCCGCCACGTAGACCGCAGAATCTGCTCCAGACTCCTGACCTGGGTTACAACAGGGCCCCTTCGAGTTGAGGAAGTCGAGTAGGGCGCGGGCTGGGACATCCTCAGGACGCGCCCGCCCCTTGCCCTGCTTCCTGTAGTCCGAGGTGAACGAATCCCAGAAGACGCGGGTGTCCGGCAAAGCGGTCCGGGTGTCTTTGACGAGGAGCAGGAGCTCACGCCGTGCAGGCAAAGGTGTCTCCCCTCGCGGGCTGGCGCTAGAGCAGCCCGTGGCGCTGGAGCCGCCAGCGTCCGTCGTCAATGGGGATGAGCGAAGAGCCTCCGGGGCGTGCGGTAGTTTCACGTTTTGATGCTATCGCGATTGTGCTGCTGGGTTCCGCATTCCAGCCGTGGCGGCGAGGGGCGTCCGGGATGCGCGACGGTGCCATGATTTCCTCTTCCTCTGTCCCCGCGTTCTCCGACTCCCCGAGGGCCCAGCCGCGGCGACGAGGGCTCTCCAGGTCTGGGGCCGTGGCGGCGAAGAGTGCAACATTAGTCGTTGCAAAAGACGGCGGGATGGAGCCGTGCTTTCCCGACGGGCATCGTCGAACCCCGGGTAGGGAGCGCCGTGCCGTGGGGAGGCCGGGCTCCCGGAGGGCTGCGGGAGGCCCACTGGGCCCCGTGTCTGGGTCCCCGTCGCGGTCGTGCTGGGCAAGCGTCGTACCTCAAGGGCAGAAAAAACGCCCCTACCCTGGTTTACGAGGCGCTGTGCTCTGAACCTCCTGTGGGCTGACAGGGTAAACCCTGCGTGATGTGCCGCGTCCTGGCGGCTCTGGGCTTTGGGGGTTCCCAGGAGGTTTACAAACCACGCACTTGTAATCCAGGGTAGGGTCGTTTTTTCATCCCTCAAGTACCAGGTTAACCGTCAGCTATGTCTGCCGCCTGGGTGCCAAGCGTCGGTCGGGCGTGCCCGCTGCCTGGGTCCTTTTTCGTCTCCTGTCCATGCACGCCGTCGTCGGTAACCGCCTCAGGTCCGGGCTCAGGGCGAGCGCCTGAGTCTGGGTCGGCGCTCGTGCCTCCGGCGGCTTCGCCCCGAAGAAGGCCGCCTTGGCCTCCTCCGTCGCCGTCGTCGGCGTCGTCGTCGGCGTCGGCGTCGGCGGCGGCGGCGGCAGCGCCAGTGTCGGCGACGGTGTCGGCGTCGGCGTCGTCGTTTGCAAAAAACCGTGGGGTGGTGCCGTGCCCTCCCTGCGGACAGTGTGTCGCAGGGAGGGCGTGCTGGAGTGCTGGAGCTCCCGACGGTGCCGTTGGCGTCTGTCCTGGTGCTCACGACTCCGCGTCTGGGTTCCGCCTTCGGGCTGTGGCGTTGAGAGGTCTTCAGCAGCGGTCGAGGGCGCCACACCTTCCAGGTCGTTCCGAGAAGCCGGCCGTGGCAACGAGGGCTCTCCAGGACGCGCGGTGTCAGGATTTCCCTTCCCTCCGCTCCCCCAGGATCTTCCACCTCCAAAGGGTTTCCCGCCACCCCCAGTCGGGGGAGCGTAAGACCCGGGTTTGCCGGGACTCGGGTTCGCCATCGTTTTTTGACGACCGCGACTCGGATTTTGACGAGGAGGAGTTTTGTGAGATGTCTGCAGCGGGAGGCCTCGTCAAAATGCAGGCTCGGCCTCGTCATTTTTTTGACGACCTCGTCGGGGATATCCGAGTCCCCCGTACCCGGGTCTTACGTCTCCCCGACCCAGATGCGCCCAGGTGCCCACCGCAGTCCACCCGGCACGTACTGGGTTCGCTTCTGAGAGTGGCAGCGTGTTGTGCCAGGGATTTGCTGGTGCCTCGGGAGCCCAGGCGCTCCCCCTGGACGAGGGCCGCTGTGGTCCGGGGGAACGGCGTGCGCCAGGCGGAGGAGGGCCGTCGGTCGTCGACGCCGACGTCGTTTGGGAACAGGGCCGTCGCGGGGCCGCCTTTTTCAGGGGCACCGTCTCCGTCCAACGGCGGACAGGGGCCGTCCGATCCGCTGTCGGGGAAGGGCGCACGGATGGGAGCGAAGGGTCTTTTGCTGACCCAGCGATTGAGTGCGGCTCTGTCTGCCATTCTGGCCACCTCCTCCCGGGGCAGCGGTGCCGCTCCGATCTGCGGGCTCAGCTCCCCACACGCGCACACGCACACACATCTTGGATCGCACACAGCCGCACGCGCACACAAACGCGCGCATACACACATACATGCACATACGTACGCTGTGCCGTTTTCCGCCGCATTTCACCGACACCTGCACAAAGAGCAGCAGCACACGTGTCGAGACCGTCGGAACCACACGTATTGAAAACGTCAAGGCCGGACGCTTGACAGGCCGAGTTGACAGGCCGTCCAGCGCTA